CGATCAGACGCGGCAGCTTCACTTGTTTCTTTGGCTCGCGACAATACCCGGTATGGAAAGTTGATTATAGAGGAAGGTGGGGTTGCACCGCTTTTGAAGTTGGGCAAAGATGGAGGAATGGAGGGCCAAGAAAATGCTGCGAAGGCCATTGGACTTCTGGGTCGTGACGAGGAAAGCGTCGAACACATTGTGAATGCTGGTGTATGCTCGGTGTTTGGGAAAATCCTCAAAGAAGGTCACATGAAGGTTCAGGTCGCGGTGGCTAGGGCAATCTCTGAATTAGCTTCTCATCACCCCTGGTGTCAAGATCATTTTGCTCAGAATAATATCATCAGATTACTGGTGAGTCATCTTGCGTTTGAAACGATAGAAGAACATAGTAAGTATGCAATTGCAAGCAAACAAACCTTGTCGATTCATACAGTTGTGATGGCTAGTTCCAACACCAACAATAACAAAAATTATGACAATGACAAGCAGCTAACCAGTCAAATAACCCATCCCACGGGACACAAAACTTCGAACCAAATGCACAATGTGGTGACCAATACATTGGCCATGAAGTCCAAAGCAGTCCCATCACAAACACAAGCACAGGGTCACACAAGCCATGACAAGGCTAATAACATCAACGCAAACCCAAACCACCAGCACCAACAGCAGCAACCGAAGCAGCGTGTTGCCTTTGCCGGGAGTAGCATTAAGGGGAGGGAATTCGAAGATCCTGCTACCAAGGCCGAAATGAAGGCAACGGCCGCCCTAGCCCTTTGGAAACTTTGCTGGGGAAATGTTCAGATATGTCGAGAGATTACAGAATCAAGAGCACTCCTATGCTTTGCGGTTTTGTTAGAGAAGGGCCCTGAAGATGTTCAATATAACTCAGCCATGGCCCTGCTGGAAATCACTGCTGTAGCTGAGCAAAATGTTGAATTGAGGCGATCCTCTTTCAAGCCCACTTCACCAGCTGCCCGAGCCGTTGTAGACCAGCTATTAAAGATAATTGAGAAAGCAGACTCTAACCTCCTCATCCCCGCCATTGATTCCATTGGGTACTTGGCCAGAACTTTTCGAGCAACCGAGACAAGAATTATAGGACCCTTGGTTCGACTGCTTGATGAAACTGAATCAGATATTACTATGGCCGCAGCAATTACGTTGAACAAGTTTGCAAATCCTGAAAATTTTCTCCATGAAAACCATTCTAATGCGATAATCGATGCAGGAGGTGCTAAGCACTTGGTTCAACTGGTTTACTTCGGCGAACAAGCAGTTCAAAAACCTTCATTGACACTCCTATGTTACATTTCTTTGGACGTCCCAAAGAGTGAGGTACTTGCCCAGGCAGAAGTGCTTATTGTGTTCGAGTGGGCATCAAAGCAGGCACATTTGGTGCAAGATCCTTTAGTTGAAACACTTCTAGTTCCAGCCAAAAGCAAATTGGAACTCTATCAATCTAGAGTTTCGAGAGGATTTCAGTGATTTAAGTCATCTATTGTATATACTGTTAGCTTCAATTTAAAGACAGTGTTCTTGTTATTGTCATCACTCTTTTAGGTTGGGGCCTGGTTGAATTGCATGCATGTTGGCTTCATATTTCCAGTAATCTGCTTTTAGCTTTTTTGCAAGCAAGTGGAGCATTATGTATGTTTATTCTTTCTATTTTTAGTGTTGGTTGGTTGATTTTATTTGAGGTATGTTTTTGAAAAAAATATTGGAGGTAAGTGTAACAGTATGACCACGTCATCATTAACATATAATATCACTATCCAATAAAAATATAACACGAACACTATATGTGGTTATTGAACTCGAGTGTCCCCTAAATTGTGGTTATTTAACTCTGGGTTCACTTATTTCAACACTATATGTTTTTTTTTTGTTACTAAAAGAACCTCTTTTAAGTAAATTCTTCGTCAACCGGTCTTGTGTTCATTTCTTCTTTTTTTTTCGGCTGTTGGTTCTCTTATTGTGAGAATTTTTGCATGGCTTGTGAAATTAAAATCTTCCATTGTTTAAAGCAAGTCCATATTTACTGCAAAGGATGCCTTGGATACATACCTTCTCTCCGAGTACCATTTTTTATTGGATTAATCTCATTTTACACCCTAAAAGATCGTTCGAATCAATTTGTATCTCCAAAGATCAAAAATCTCAATTTGTACCCTAAAAGATAGAAATTTGTATCAATGTACACCCTCAAAGATCAAAAATTTCAATTTGCATCCTCAAAGATATAAATCTGTATCAATGTGCACCTAAAATTAAATTGATAAATTATACTTAAATTCCTTCGTGTTTGTCACTTAATCATTTGAACCCCTTCACATTTAGAATATTACCCCTACATCTCATGACGTTTATACATGTGTAAACATAACTACTTTTCGTTGATATCTATTAATATAATTGTTAAAAAATATGATTTTATCATAATAAAAAATTATAATTTCATATTACTCTTTATTTTGTGGATTCAATATACTTTAAAGTTCAAAATCAAGCTTACCATTTGAATGTCTAACAGAATGTAGATATTTATATAAAGGAAAATATGAAAAATATTATATAAATATATATATTTTATTAGACATTCAAATGGTAAGCTTGATTTTGAATTTTAGAGTATATTGGACCCATAAAATAAGGGTAATATGAAATTATATTTTTTTATTAGAATAAAATTATATTTTTTAACGGTTATATTAACAGATATCAATGAAAATGAGTTACATGTTGTACATGCATAAATGTTATGAGATGTAGGAGTAATATTCTAAATGTAAAGAGGTCCAAATGATTAAGTGACAAACATGAGGAGATCTAGGTATAATTTATCAATTTAGTTTTAAGTGCATAATTATACAAATTTCTATATTTGAGAGTGAAAATTGAGATTTTTTATCTTTGGGGTGCACATTGATATAAAATTCTATCTTTGAGGGTGCAAATTGAGATTTTTGATCTTTGAGGGTGCACATTGATACAAATTTCTATCTTTGAGGGTGCAAATTGAGATTTTTGATCTTTGGGGGTGCACATTGATACAAATCTCTATCTTTGAGGGTACAAATTGAGATTTTTACTCTTTGAGGGTACAAATTAAAATTCAAACGATCTTTCAAGGTATAAAATGAAATTAGCCCTTTTTTATTTACTGCAGAATTCTAGTTTTGCAGAAAGAGTTCATCAGCTATAGTTTATGATCCTTAGAAATGATTAAAGTTTTCTTTAGTGGGTCAATTTTTCTCCATCCCTGACGTCCTTTTCTGAACAAACTGATGGGTTTTAAATTAATATACATGTTGGACAGAGACTGAGAGAAGCAAGAAACTTTACTATTGGATGGTCAATAAGCATGAAATCAAGAACCTGAATTGACTAATTAGCATGCATTTAGAGAATGTAGGTAATTAGTTGACATTAATGATATCACTGTTACTCCCAATATCCCAATATTTAGCAGTGATGCTAATTCAAGTCCAAATTTTGTAACGAGAGGGCTTCAGATTTGGTCAACTTACATAGGGTATATATATATATATATATATATATTTAAAATATTACACATAATTCCTTGAAAAAACTTAAATTCCCGTGACCGTCTATAAATTATATTTAAATTCTCTAAAAATTATAAATACGTAACACTTAGACTCTTCAAATTTAAAAAATTAAACTTAAACTCCTTATTAGTTACAAAATTTATTAAACAATCAAATTGTCCAATTAAAGATATAAGATATTGTGTCAATTACAATTTGATCCATTTTTTGATTTTTTTAGTTTTATTCGTGTTAAATTAAATTTTTTGATATATTTATACTGATTACTATATACAGTTCATATCTTTGAGTCATTTACTGACTTAGACATTGGAGAGTTGGCTTTCAGAACTCTTCTCTAGTTTTCAACTTCTTTTTTGGGTGATCAAAGCCTAACAAATTGGCGTGTAGATCATCCAAATTTTAACATCAACAATTCTAATTATGATTTTTTAAGAAAAGATAAATTTTTATTTTTGATTTTATTTTAATGAATGACATAATAGAATATGAGTTTTGATTGTAAAAATTAAAATATTTGATATTTTATCTTTAATTAGAATAATTTTGGTTTAAGTATAGTATTTTAAACTTAAAGAATTTATGTGTTACGTCTACAAATTTTAAGGAGTTTAAGTATAATTTACTCAAAGATATACTAACTCGTATTGACATAAGTACAAATTTTAGAGGGTTGATATATAATATTTTAAATATCAAGAGGTTTAACTAATAAAATAGGGTGTCAATTGACTAAATTTGAAATCCAAATAATATGATAAATAATTATTTAAAATTTTTATTAAGGTCTAAATAAAATGACACAAATCAATGAGTTCAAAATTTAACCCAAAAGTTAATTAATCCAGTATTACTGATTAATCTAGCATTACTGAAAAGAAAAAGGAGGATTCCAAACTCAGCCACTTGAACTCTGCCACTTGAACTCTTCTCCGTCGTTCCTCTTCCTTCTCTGCTTTTGTCACCTTTTCTTTTGTCTCTCTTGGCCTCAAAAGATAAAGAAGCAGCTATTTGTAAGTGTGGATCTCTTCAACAATGGTTCGTCTTCTCATCTCCATCACCGTTCTCACTCTTCTTATCCTTACTTTCTCTTTCGTCTCAGGTAATTACGCAAAGCACCCACTTTTCCTTCTAAATTCCTCTTCTTTAATCTGTTTAAAGTTCTTCAATTCAATTTCTCTCTGATATTTTTCTTTGTTTCATCCACAATCAGAGGTACGCTCAACCAAGTTCAAGATAGTGAACAAGTGCCGCCACACGATATGGCCCGGAATTCTAACCGGCGCCAATCGTCCAGTTCTGTATCCAACCGGATTCGTCCTCAACAGCGGCAAATCGAGGACTCTATCAGTACCCAGGGCCTGGTCGGGTCGACTTTGGGCTCGGACTCTCTGTGCCCTTGACTCCGGCGGTAAGTTATCTTGCGCCTCCGCCGATTGTGGTTCCGGCAAGGTGCAATGCGCCGGCAGCGGCGCAATACCTCCGGCGACGCTCGCTGAGTTCACGTTAAACGGAGACCAAGGGTTGGATTTTTATGACGTCAGCTTAGTCGACGGGTACAACCTTCCGATGCTGGTGGTGGCTAGGGGAGGAAAAGGAGGGGGTTGCAGTTCGACGGGGTGTCTTGTGGACCTGAACAGAGCGTGTCCAGCAGGGATGAGGGTGGCGCGTGCGAATGGGAGCGAGATCGTGGCGTGTAAGAGCGCGTGTGAGGCATTTGGTGATCCCATGTATTGTTGTAGCGAGAATTATAATACTCCGGACACATGTCAACCGTCGATTTATTCGACGTTCTTCAAGCACGCCTGCCCACGATCCTACAGTTATGCTTACGATGACAAGACCAGCACCTTCACCTGTGCAGGCGCGGACTACATTATCATCTTCTGCCCAGCACCTTTCACTAGGTATATTTTACTTTGATAAACCTTATAATATACCTTTGATTTGTCCTAGTCTTAGTTAATTTCCTCATATCTGATAAGGTAAATTTGGTCATGCTAGATTAATTATGATGAGGTGCTGCATTGTTTTAATATAAAGATGTCTTATTGGTTGGATGACTGTGGATACTTTCGTGTTAGCAAATCCATATAAATAAATAAACAAGTAGTGAAAGTTTAATCAAATTGCCTGAAATTGATATAAAGCTTGTGGCTGCCTCGTTAAGTAGTAGGCTGCTGCATGACATTAATGGTTATATTAACAATTAGCATGAAACTTAAAGGGACAAATATAATTTTTGAAAAATTAGGGTCACACTACTGCCCCCCTAGGTCATAACGTGGTTCTGTTGCTAGTTAGAGGTATTAGGTTCAATAATAGACGTATGTATATATGTGGTTTAAAGTGCATAGCTACGGATTCAATTGCATGTAAGGGTTGAAGTTAACTGGTGGTGAAGGTGAAGGTGATGATGACGGTGTTGGGTTTATACTGAGTGATTAGGTGAGTTAACGATGGTTGTGAGTTACAGAGCATTTTTCTTTCTAACATAGTGGTTGATTTTTATATAGAGGAGAATGACAGAAAATTTGTAGGATTATGGTGTCTTTTCACACCATGCATATGCTAGACTTGAATCAATTTCTTAAACAAGAAGGGATACCCTTGTAATTTGGCCTAGGATCAGGATATGTATATTCAATTTCATCCCACTTTTGTTGCACACGAAATGATGCTTAGGTCAAAACTCGAGTTTGATAGATTCTTTTGGAGCTGAAAAAGAATTAGTTTTTGCTTCATATCTTTATTTGTCGCCGAGAGAGGATTCATTGCAACAAAAGTGCTTACCATTTTTCTGAAATTGACTTGAACCTGCAATGTTATTTAAAGATGTATTCTTTGATGCGGATTAGGTTTTTCTCTTGGATGATTGACTTGAATTTGACTCGGCTATCAGATTTGTTTATACTCTTCCTTGTTTTTCTCATAAAAATTTAATGAATTATTATTGATTTGAAGCATAAGGGTGGGGTCAATAATTTCAGGTTGAGCCTTGGATGTTTATTGTATTTATATAGGAAAAAACAAAGTCCAAACCTTGTCAAATTAAGAAAAGCTCGGATTTGATCTTCCTCACATTTTTCAAGGGCATGTAAGACCCACTTCTTGAATACCGCATTCATGTCCTGTCCAACTTGAGTCAGCTGCCAATTATTTGAATAGACCCTATGAAATACAAGGTAGTTCATATGTTTACATTTGTTGCTTCCTGTAGATATAATCAATGTATGGCCAATTGCAATGGTATTATGTTGTGCAGCTTTATTGGTCTCAAAGAATATACCCGTAACCATTACATTTAAGCGAATGTTGTTAGTATTCTCTTACATGTGGTGATAAGTAATCTGTGGCAATGGTCAGCCAAAAATTGCTGGGAAGACGGAGGGAAGCTGCAGAGCTGCCACTAGTTAACAAAACTATGATGTACATTGGAAGGCATCATTTGAGTGGTATGTCATCACCAGGTTTGGTTCCAGTGCAAATTATGGCCAGTGCCATCTCTGTTGTAACAGCAATTTTGCAGTTTTGGTTGTTCTTATAATTTGCATTACTAATACTGGTGGACGCTTTCAGGGTGATGTATCAAAATCTGCAGCTGGAGAGTGGGCATCATCTCCTGAGCCCAACTGTTGTGATAGTTCTTTCGTTCACTCCCCTGAAATTTGGGTCCAATCAGTGAATTGGCAGTTGTACAAATATCACAAGTAATCTTGTACATAGGTTGTTATTCTTGTACTAATGATCGTCCATCCACCAATTATTTCAATACGTTAGTGAACATTAGAGATGCTATAATGGGGAGAAATTTAGAGGTCTGTAGGGCGTATAGAAAGTTATTTGACATTTTTCTGGTCAGATAGTCATTGGACCATGTGGATGGACAAATTTGCATGAGATCCAATGGTACCAACTCCCATTCTTTGGGGGAAGGCATCACCATCATGGGGAGATTGTCTATATTTGTTGACCTGAGTACCTGAAACACAAGTTCACTATTACATAGTAATCGATGTAGCTGTTTTGCCGGGCTTTAGATTCAGATAGTTGGTTGCCATTTTAATCTTTGTTTGGTTATAGTGCTTCTCTTGAGGGTTTGACAACATAAAATATGTTTGTCTTAGCTATATGCCAACACATCAAGATCTAAATATGTAGTGTTTGACATGATTGCTCAATTTTGCGTCTGATTTCTTTTGCCAATCATTAGCCGTAACCTCATATATTTTGTTTCCACTCCATATTGTTTTTTTATTTTTATTTTTTCTGATATTAAGCATAAGGTAGAAGGATGTGATGATGAGTAACCCTAGAAGTGAATGTCCATGTGTTGGTTCAGTTCAGCTTGATGAAACATATTCGGAAGAATGTTAGCAATTTGGGAGGGAGGGAAGTAGTTGGACAATTGTATACACAAGGGTGCATTAGTGTTATAAGAATAGGAATTGGCAACATTGCCGGAAAGGGGAAGGGATGGTCCATTCCTACTTAGACTGTCCAAACGCCCGGGTTGATAAAACACATTGGTGAAGCCATACCAGACGTTCTATTCCTGGAAATAGGAGACCTGGGAGGTGGTGAGGGTAGTTTAGGAGCCGTTAACTGTTTTACAGTTGGATCAATGAGTTCCATTAGAAATTTGACCAAACCAACTACATAAATTTGATAAATTTTATTTTAATATATGCATCATTGCTGTTTTCTTGGGCTAGAGTACTATCAAGGGATGGGAATTTGTATAATCCTTTGCCTTTGCCTAGTCTAGAGGGGAACAATAGTCCATGCGACTGACTGACTTTCTCATAATTAATTGATGGGAATAGATAAAAGGCTGGTGGAATTGAGCCGAAGAGGTAGGGATGACAGGCACTGTCATTTATCGTACATGTATCACTTATTAGGATCATGTCAATGTTTTGATTGGTAAAATCGGACCATTGTAAATGTTTTCTGACATTATTTTCCGTTTAATGCAGTTACAAATAAACAAATGAAAAAAGAGGACAACGTTTTTCTGTAAAGGTTGATTTTTGTGGTAAAAGGAAGAAGAATGAGTTTGCTTTTTCATTAAAGTAGGTTAGACATGGGCCTCCTCCTCGTGCAAATCATGGACATTAGATCAACCTAACAAGACAAGTAGACAACATCCTGTTCAAAAGAGAGAGAGAGAGAGAGAAACATTATGCAAATCCTTAAAATTTGAATGACCAGATTTCATCAGTCTTGAAAATTTTAATGATGATATTTCACTGGTTTTTAAATAGTTTTTTAATTTTTATATATATATATATATCAATGGTATTTATGAACATAAATTTAGCATATTTATGTGAGTGGCAATAGTTTAGTTAATTTGAAGCCAAGACAAAGGGGTGTATTAAAAGATTTAGTGAAAATTGTAACCACACCCCATTAGTTTATCATATCTTCAAGGACACTCCCTCTAGTTTTTGAATCTTCAATAACACCTCTTATTAAATTAAAAATATTAAGTAGAATATAATTTTACTAAATTGTCCATAATATATTTGAGGATAAATTTTATTCACACCTCCTCTAGATAAACATATTTTCAATAAAACCCCTTCTAGATAAGTATATTTTCAATGAGACCTCCTCTGTTTTTTAATTTTTTTTATATAATTAAATTCTAACTGATTAAAATTCAATTCAAGCTAATTAAAATTTATTTTTTTACATATTAAAATTTGTGTCAATTAAAAATTATATTTTTTTACGTATTAAATTTTGGGTTAATTAAAATTTTGTTTGAGCCAATTAAAAATTATTTTTAATCAACTCAAATCAAATTTTAATCAATTCGCATTAAATTTTAATCAGCCTAAATTTTAATATATAAAAATATATGAATTTTAATTGACACAAATTTTAATAAGTAAAAATAAATAAATTTTTATCGAGTCGAAAGAGAATTTTAATCAGCGCTAACAACTCGGGCAGAGTTCAAATCGACACAAATTTTAATATGTAAAAAATAAATTTTAATAGGCTAGATTTTTTTAAAAAATTTACGAATTAGTAAATAACAAATTAGTATTTACTAACAAATTATTTACTAAAATTGTTATTTACGATTTTTTTTTTAAATTTTAATACTCGAATTTTGATAAAATTTTATGCAGAAAAATTATTTGAGGTCATGTAGGGGTATTTTTGGTATTTTAGATGAATTGTTTTTGTTAGAATGATAGTTTAGTGGTAGAAGATGTTATTGAAGATTTAAAAATTAAAAGGGATGCTCTTGAAGATATGATAAATTAGAAAGAGTGTAATTAAAATTTTCCCAAAGATTTATTAATCTAAGTGCATTGCATTGATGATTCTTTTGGGCCAAGTGGGGTCAAAGTTTACTGCCCAATGCCAAACATTAGCAGATCATCAAAAGACGAGAGACAGAGAGAGAGAGTAGAGAATCCAAGGCATTTGCGTGTGGATGAAACAAGCCAATAGTGTCATCCAGCCTTACAACTATAAGTCCACGTGGCATAAGAACAACTGTCATTTAGTCTGACGTGGCAAAATCACAACCCGTCATCATTGAGATGATGATATGACATGGGTACTGGCTCTCGAAACAGGAGGAAGTATTTATCACCACATTGATATTACGTGAAAATGTGATATTGTATCAATAATATTAAAACAAATATAAATCAATGAACCGTGGAGTAAAATATGTGCAATCCTATATACATTTAAAATTTTAATTTAATAATATAATTATTATATTTATTATTAATTTAATTATAAATTTTAATATTTATTAGAATTTACTATTTATTTAATAATAATGATTGTCAAAATTTTAAATTAATTTTTTAAACCTATTTAACATTTTTTTATAAAATTTTAATTATAACGATTATACCATGTTAAAGTTGTTATATAATATAATCGTTTAATAATAAATAAATTAATTAGTAAGTAAACTCATTTTTTTGTATATATAGTAATTATTATCTTAGAAGTAATGATTATTTAGAAAAATAAAATTTATTTTATTTAAATATTAATGATTATGCCGTGTGATAATGTTAACCTCTGTTTTTTTTTTTTTTTTTTTGAGATAATGTTAACCTAGTGTAACCATTTTATATTCAATCATGAAAGTGACACGTAAAGCACAATTGTTTCGTCAGCAAAAGAGACTGGTGGGGGCTATTTACTTGGCTCCTTTTTGACTAGTTGACAACCCTACCATTAAATTGCTCTTACTTAATTTAATTCAATGATATAGATAAACCTTTCTATTATCGCATTCTAATTATGGGCTAAATGCATCCTGCTTTTAGCTCTAGACCCATAACTTTAGGTGGGGTTTAATTTAGAACTTTACACAACTCCACAATACAACACTTTTTTCCTAGCTATTAAGATAAAAGACTTTAAATTATTAGAATTATGTTTATATTTTGTTGATCTTAGTTTTTTATGAGACAAATGTGAAGTGATAAATATATATATTGAAAAATACGTATCATGGTACTAATATTTTCGTGTCAAGAGATGATTGTCTTGTTTTGACAAATATAAGCGATAATCATTGATCTTGTTTGTTTTTTGATTGAGGTGTTGAATTTTTTAGAACTTTTTGGACGCTTCAACTATTGGCTTTCCCAGCAAGGTAGGGTGAGATATAAAACCTCTGCAACATATTGAAAAGCCTTCAGCCGTGAGAGGATAGAGCCTTTTGGCTTCCTCGTGGCTGTGTGAAGCTTATCTTACAACCATGTAATGGTAAATTACTAGCTGTTCACCAAAATCAATCCACACCAAAGTTATTAGTAGCACTGGATTTAATTTTGCATCTACCAACCTCTATTACACTTATTCTTGAACATCCTTACCCTGATTTACACCACCCTTCTTTTGCTAAATAAATGAAGAATATAGATAGGACTTTTTAATTGCTTTACCAAACCCCGTTGAACTTGTTTGGAGAGCACTAAAGCAGATAGAAATAGAGTGCAGAAGTCAAGAACTTCCCCTTCATTGAACCAGGAACATATCCAAAACAAATTCACATGTCCATTTTACTGAGTTGTCAATTGTTAGTGCTTGTCTATAATCACTGTTGGGACTTGAAAACACTGGAAGCTCCCACCTCATGAGAAACCACTTCTAAACTGTTTTTTTTTTTTTTGATCCTACACTACTAAACTGTTGGAACGCAGACTCTTGTATATCTAATTAATAATTCAACTAGTGAGACCCTTTCACGTGTCAATCCGAGTCTGGTCCATTGCTCTTTGCTAGGGAATAGTCTGCATCTTCGCTGGCGTCCTATATGGATCCAACAACAATGCTCTATCGCTTAACTATTTTATCAAGTTAAAGTCTAGTATTCCATGACATTTTTATTTTGAACAATCTTAAAGTTAATTGTTTAGCATTGTATTATAGTTGAAGATTTTGTATTTAAATCATATCATCATCATCTTGATAATTAAAATATTTTACGTATTAAACCTAAAATTTAACCTGCACAGGTAGGAACTTTTTTCATCTAATATGGAGTTTCCTCACCCGAAATCCTAAAATAATCCCTGGTGTCCTTCAAGAAATTGCATTCACAAAAAGAATGAAATTTTGCAAAGGCCGGAACAAATATTATTGGCCCTCCTCTCCATACCAATTCACTGTGAGCACCTGGGGTTACCTCCTGCCATATTTTGAAGGTCCAAAACACCAGCTCAAACATGGTCCCAATTTCTCATCCCAAGATAATTTAATCATAACTAATGTGATAAAGTGGGCACGGTGGAGAGGCACATTCTATATTCACTACTGTGTGTTATAGTTGGATGGCCTGCAATTTTCCTCCTCCCACTGACTTTTTCACCTCCTTCCCCTCTGTTACTTTTTTCAGAAAAATCACCTTTGTTTGTTTTCTTGCACATTTAACCACAAACCCCACACTCTCCTCTGTTTCCACTGTTTCTCTCTCACAATCATCTACATTCTACCAGCAGCAGGGCAAAGCAAAAGCCCTGCATCGTCCCCATCTCTTCGTCTTCTTTCCATTACATTACTCATTACCCTCATTTTCTCTCACATCTCTTCAACATCTAAAGCACAAACACAAAACCCCAAATCACATAGCCCCAAACAAGTCCCACCAACTTTCTTTGCCTCCTCTCGTCAAAACCTCATTTTGTTAAAGATAAAGGAACAACAAAAGAAACAAAGAAACAGAAGCAAAACCACATGGATCTGTTCTCTTTTTCCTCTTCAACCCTCATTCTAACCATCTCATTTGCTCTGCTTCTGCCCTCAAGAGGTAAAAAAAACCATTTCTTTGATCTGGGTTTTCATCACATTTACATTTCCATGCATGTTTTTGTCTTAATATAATCCCTCAGATGAGATTCTTGATATTCTGATGTATATAATATATCACAACTCTGAGATGAAAATGTGACTTTTGTGCAGGTGTTTTGGGGACTACATTTACATTTGTGAACAAATGTGACTACACAGTATGGCCAGGCATTCTTGCAAATGCTGGAAGTCCTAGTCTCGACAGCACAGGATTCGAGCTCCCCAAGGACTCTTCACGTTCATTCATAGCCCCCACCGGCTGGTCCGGCCGGTTCTGGGGACGGACAAGCTGTAACTTCGACGGATCCGAGTCCGGTTTCTGCACCACCGGCGATTGTGGTTCTGGTCAGGTGGAATGCAACGGCGCCGGAGCTGCCCCACCGGCTACACTCGCAGAGTTCACACTCGGGTCGGGTGGGCAGGACTTCTATGACGTCAGCCTCGTTGATGGGTACAATTTGCCCTTGGTAGTCGAAGGATCTGGCGGGTCGGGTATGTGTGCTTCTACGGGTTGTGTGACGGATCTGAACCGGGTATGTCCGTCGGAGTTAAAAGTCGGTGAGGGAGAGGCGTGTAAGAGCGCGTGTGAAGCTTTTGGGAGTCCAGAGTACTGTTGCAGCGGCGCGTACAACTCACCCGCCGCTTGTAAGCCGTCGGTGTATTCGCAGATGTTTAAGTCGGCTTGTCCTAGGTCGTATAGCTTCGCTTATGATGATCCTACAAGCACGTTCACTTGTACCGGTGCTGATTATACGGTGACGTTTTGCCCCTCCATGCCAAGGTAAACACACATTTCGCAGTATTCATACCTTGCATTGTCTGGTAATTTAACTTCCAAGTTATAGGTCTTGACATCTGTGTGTGTGTGTGTGTGTGTGTGTGATGGGGAGGGGAAAGAGGGAGGGTTTGCAATGGTGAATATTTTTTCTATGCTTAGTTTTTGTATGTGTTTTGCTGTATTGTGACGTGCTACGTTTCTACGTATATCGGTTCAGTATGAGTTTAGATGTGTGTATATGAATTAATGAAAACCCTTTTCAAGTTGGTTTTTAAGTCAAGTTCTTCTTCCCATTAGTTCATATCAATTAGAATTAGAGTTAGTCATCACATTGATTATTGTTTGAACCCAATATGTGAACTGCGACTCTTTGTAGTAGTCATGGCACAGAAGGAGTGATCTATAGGTGAGATTAAAATAAATAATTTAGTATTATGTATTAGCATAGTGCTTTTTCAAGTAGATGAACTTTCTGGAATACTAAGTAAATGAATAGGATCGATAAAGTGAATTGTTGTGATCTAACATAAGTTCAGCATAGGTTTAGGTTAAAAATGTGTACTTGAACTGTTTGGCTAGGTACATTTTTTTAATCTCCTTTCCATGCTTAGATCTAATTTTAATTTTTCAAATCTTTGGGGCTAAAAAATATTTTTTGATTACTAGTAATTATCTGAAATGAATTAGCATTGTTGGGTTGCTTTCAAAGTTAATGAGCACAATTACTTTGTTACCCAAGAATCTGACTTGATATTTACATTTCTGCACAGTTCATTGAATGTACCTCTTTAATGAGTACAATTTAACGTTTCTTGTGCAGTCAGAAATCATCAAGAGATCCAGCACCAACGACAACAACAAATGGTGATGGGTCTGTTTCGGATTCAGGTACTGGGTCCGGGATGATGGGGTCAGGTGCAGAGGCTGCGCCTGGGGCGATGGGATCTGGGTCAGGGTCAGGGTCAGGTTCAGGATCTGAAGCTTTGCTGGCTGATGGGTCATGGTTAGCTGGTTTGGCCATGGGTGACTCAACAAGGATACTCTCCCCTTCTGCTTTATATTCTGCACTTATTGCCTCTGCTACTTTCTCTTTCATCCTCTCTTTACTTTGCTTGTAGTCTCTCTCTCTCTCTCTCTCTCTCTCTCTCTCAATGCATTCATTGAAACTAGAAGGTATGAAGGGAATGGAGTTTTTTTTGCCTTAGTCATAGAAAAGGTGACAGATTGATCCATCCAAGATTGTATGTAAGCCATCCACTTCCAGATTCTCCCACCAAAAAAAAAGAAAAAAATGGATGTCACGGAAGTCGGAAGTGTTTCTATTTTATATTATTTGAGACATTGTGCTTTCATTTTCCTCCTTATGGTTCAAGTTGTCAATGTTCTGTTTATGTAAAGAAGCTTATGATGAGAGGTTTTGCCCAAAAAAATGGATCAAATGTGAACAAGTAATGTTGGATGGATTTAAAAATTAGATTTGATAATTTCAATCATTAAATACTGAGATTTATAATGAAATTAATGATTGTAATTATCAAGTTTAATTTCTAAGGTAATGTATTGTTGCTCAATGTGAACATGAATGAAGGTTGGTTGGCTGATATCTTCAGAAGATTCACTTTACTTTTACTGGTCTGCCATGGTAGTATGCACGTAACCTATACACAACAAATGAAAAGAGAGAACTTTCAAGAGGAAGAAGAAATAGGTTCTATTGGAATAAAAATCTCTCGATCTTAACTACCCACTTATAATTTAACCATAATAAAAAATAGATTTACTATAGTTACAGTTAAAAATAGAGTAATGGTTAAAATTTAACATTGTAAAGTAAGTTGTTGGTTCTTAACTTGCCGTTGGTTGTGTTTTATGTTTGAAGAACTTTTTATTTTATTACATAGATATATTCATAACTATGTTTGATGTTATAGCATTGTTTGGTATGATGGTGAAAGGTTTGTTGGATTTGATCATATCCCTTTAAGAATAATAAGGCCAAATCTAAATCCAAATATACCATTACAACAAGGAGGAATAAAGTGATGATATCATTTTGTTCTTGGCTTTTCATCATAATTAGCTTAGCTTGCTACTAGTTGAACTAATCAAAATAAAGGGAATGGTTTGAAACACATAATCAAAATAGAGGGAATGAGTGGTAAGAGTAGTTTAAGTGGTAATAAGAATAAACTCTAAATTTAGATGTTCTATATTCGAATCTTGATAACTCTTTGTAGTCAAATTATGAGAAATTTATCTTTTATGAATATTCTAAATTCGACGTGGATGACTTACTTTTGACCAGACTAAGGAGGAATTAGAGCTACTCCAAAGGGAGTTGCCATTTTAAAATGTCAAATCACTCATTTGTAATCTTAAATAGTATTTTGGCACCCCTGAATTATTAATCTGTGCTGCCAAAATGGGTATGATTTTCATATTCTTATTCATCAATTTATATGAATCGTTAGATCTATATTCATCTAACGGATATATATTCATCAATTCATTTGCAACCTCTCCTTTTCTCTCTCCAGAATTGTCAAAAATGTCACCCCAAACCTTGATGTCATTTTCCAAGCCCATATGCCATTCTTTTTGGAGTGAACATTTTTGAATTTGAGGTGGTATATGGGGTATGTCACCCCATATGCCACCCCATTGGAGTTGCTCTTTTAATCGAAATGTACATAAGTTGGGTCGAATATCCTTAACTATTGAACCAAAAAATAAATAAATAAATAAAGGAAATGATTCTTGAAAGTTTATAAAATTTGAAACTCTGATAATAAACCTTTTTTTTTTGCCAGTATTTGTTCCTCTTTCTAGTTCTATTACCAGGTGGAGTATAGGGCGGCCACAGATGATAGTTAATAAACAACTGGCATAAACTATAGACTAAAGCAGCAGTTTTGCTGGTGCACTATCAGATTGTAATCATCAGTCCAAGAAGAGATAATGGATCATTGGTCACCTATTGCGGCACAAAGTATATATATATATACACTCCCACTATTACATTGCAATTATTTATACAGAATAAAAGATTGATGAATGAAAGCATATGTTTCATCTTATGGGTCCTTCCCACTGATAATCTTCATCATTCCTGGAATCAAACCGGTTAAATAATCGCATCAAACATTACTGTGATTTAATCGTGAAATAGGAACGTAGTAGTGTTGTCCAAAATGTATGGGAAATTATTCAAAGGAGAGGATTTGAATCTTCTTTAGAGTATTTTCCATCAATCAAACATGAACAAATACGAGTTATGAATCTGTTGATAAACAAATAACTTGAATCCAACAAATCAATCAACCAAAACCAGACATGAGACAATAAATCTTTCAGTTGTTGTTTTTTTCTCTTCTCCCTAATTGGAGCATCATAGAATCTTCTTTTTCAGTGGATGGAGCATCAGAATTACTCCTTTTGACATACCCTAGTCATCACTTTGATGGAGGAGGCTCTGTCTATACTTATTCGCGGCCATGACAACAAAACGGTTTCACACTCATCAATGAAGAAAAACCATCCATTGGGTAAAAGTTCAAAAGCTACTTAAATTCAGGGAGAAACAAAAAAGAATCACTTAAGAATGATATCATGCAGCCAAAGGGCAACTATATCCATAATTTCCTGCGAAAACTTTGTTGATTTAAACAAACGAGTTTTCAATGTTTTGGCAAAGTAAAGCAAGTACTTACTGGGACCGACTCACAAAAGGAAATCATAACATTAAGCATCGTAACATGGAGTTATTTTCAAGGGCTGGGACCGACTCATAAAAGGAAAACATAACATTAAGCGTTGTAACATGGAGTTATCTTCAAGGGCTGATACAGACATATATACATAGAGGTTATGTCTCTTGGCCTAATCTCATATTCTTCTTTAGAGTTAGTTGCAAGCATAATATCACTCAGTTCTCTTCTCTATGTTGTTAAGTTATTGCACATAGTACAAAAATGGAGATAATTAGAAATTTGAAGCATAGATGATGTGTTTTTCATTGCACAAAACAAATGGAGACAATTTTCTGATATGGCCATGTATGAACGTTTATAATTCAGCAAAGCAAAAACATATGCAGTGCATGGTTTGACAAATCGTTAGACAATCAAAAGCTGCAGTGTAAATGATCCATTTCAACTTATGCATAGAGTGGAATAATGTGGTATGATTGATGTATGAACTGCAATATGCTATAGCTATCCTCTTAGGCCACAATCATAAGGCTTACACTTGAATATTTAAATGTCTGGTTTCATCCCCTCTGCAGAGTGAGAATGTTGAAGTTGCAGTTTGGTTGCCATGGTTAATAGTGACCTTATATTCACCTAAAAACCCATAAAAGCTGAATGAACCATGGTCATCTGTCTGGCCCCCCACCAACCCAGTTTGCCATTCTTTCAGGAGATTGTCAACAACATCACCAGCTGGGAGGTTATGGAAATCGTTATCTGTTAGGCACATTCTGTAACAACCATTTGGATGTAGCGCAGTCCAAAGTATAATTCCATTTACTGAAGGGTGTGAGAAAACTTCTCTCAAAACTGCCTCTAGATATGTGGCCTGCCAAGAATATCCAAAACCAAACTCTGTGGGGTATGGCAGAAAACTTTGACTCTTCATAATTAATACTAATGGGCTTATGTCCTTTACCACGAATGAAAAATGAATTGGATAGGATAGCTATCAATTAAGAGATTGGCAAATTCTTTTTGACCTTAAGTTAGTTACCATAGTGTATTTGGACCTCAGCTAGGATAGAAGTTTGTAATTTCTTGACCATAAATTTGGAAAAATCAATAACTTTGTTTTACTTGCTTACCTGTGTCTCCTTGTCAAGAGTGTTGCTGATATCGACTTCTGTGAACCAAATGGGAAGCTCTAGGGTGGCCAACTTGTCTAAGACTGCCCTGATTAAAGGAGGGTTTGGTACCGTAAAGTGGCCTTCTAGCCCGATTCCATCCATTGACACGCCACCTCGTTTGAGTTCTCTCAGCCTTGAAATGTAGGTATCCACTGTGGAATTAACATCATTGCAAGTCTCCACCACATTAAATTCATTCATAAACAAGGTCGCCAATGGGTCTGACTGGTGTGCTGACTCAAAAAATTGCAGTGTAGCATTGGGGCCAAGTCTTTGCTCATAGAAATCAAAATGAAGCATTTCATTGTTGACATCCCAGTGTATGAATTCGTTTTTGTATTTTGTCATTAGACTTTGTATGTGAGAGTTGACAGCCAACTTTAACTCAGGACCTGTGAGATTACGAACCCAAGCAGGCGTAAACATGGGATTCTCCCAGAAGATGTTATGGCCCCTTGCCAGGATTTGATTAGCTCGAACAAACTCCAGCATTTGATCCGGTATGGTGTAATTGACCTGCCCTGGTTTGGGTTCTGTTGAGTACCACTTGAGCTCATTTTCAAACACTGCAGCGTTGAATCGTCCAACAAACCAACTCTGAAGCAATTTGAAAAATTTGCTTGTTATCCTCCAATGTGTAGATGTTCATTGTAAATATATAAATCATATCAAATTTATATTCAATTGTAATTAAGATGCTTATAGGATTTTTGGAAGGATTAAAGCCATAAATTGTGTGGTTTTCTTCCTATTTGCTTCTTGCAAATTTCTGATTCATTCAATAAAAATCCTATTTTTTTTTTTTAAAAACACATGCAATTGTAGTTTACAATTTATAGTCTGTACTTACCTGGTATTGCAAATTGCCAAGAATGGTCTCAGCTATGGCAGATCCAAATGGGAAATCTCTTGAAACTTGCTTTACTCTAATAGTTGCTTCTTGTAAACTCTCTCCATGTACATCTGAAGCATGGATTGTGACAGCTCGTTTTCGTTCCTGAACCAAAAGAGAAAAAAAAATGTTGGATTAAGAACTTAAGAGCATTTCTAAATCATCTCACTTTGATTCTGGAAGAGTTCAACACTTCGACATTTTTCTCTTCAATTTGACAATTATGAATAGGAGCACAAATGAGAGCTTGTAGTAGTTACCTTGTCAATTTTGTATTGTTGGGTAGTCCTCCATTGCTGTTCAGTGAATGGCTGCAAAGAAGCACTTGCAACACTTATGTTGATGCCTCTCCCATCTGAGTTCTGCAACAGAAAAGATGGATCATTTTTTTCTAAATAAACAGGTGATAAAAAAAAAAATTGTCCTTGCACTCTGTTTGCATTTGTTATTTTCTCTTTTTTAACTCTATAGTTACACCAGTCTTTTTATACAATACTAAGTTTGTGTATCACAAGTAGCCATACCTGAAAGTAGAGGATTGAGAAATTTGCAGGCAAATCAAGAACAAATCCACCTTTCAGAAATGACCAGCACCCGCACTTTGCGATAACATTTCCTATGCAACTAAATGTAGCACTATCTGTGGTTAGACTAGCTGTTATGACAGACGAATCTGCACCTGCTATCTTGACCCAACCTAGTGAGCACCAATTATGACAGAGCACCAAATGTCATGCATACTTCGCCAACCATTAGTCTTCTAAGTATATATGTAGCTGTGCATGGAGGTAAGTTATTCTAGTTGTTTTCCTTCCTCTTTCCTTTCCTTTTCTTTGGCCTCATTAAATTGGAGAACCAAATGGAGCCTAACTATCTTGGTGATGGAAACCCTTTATAATATGCATTTGTTCAACCCAAATGCATCTGAGTTTTATTGTCTATTACTGTATAGATTTCATGGAATTTGACCTTACGCAAAAACTTATTCACTAAAAATTGTAGCCATAGGGACCCTGATTTGATGTGATGTACTAAAACAGAAAAGTCCTGTCTCTCAATTGTTAATAAGTTAGCTCTGAAATCTTGGATATATAGTTGAATTCAGCTTGGGTACGAAATGAAAAGAGTACGACTGTTTATCATAGTTGTTGTAACTTGAACAGAAATTTACAAATAAAATTCGAATAAGGCTATGTAATTGTTACTTATTGGCGATACTCCAATTAGGTAGCTCTTTTTAATAATACGCTCCTATGGCATATCAAAGTTGTATTGTGACATTGATGAAATTAGCTTATCCAATTTAATGTAAAGAACAGACAGCAAAAAACTCAACTGGAAAAACTGTAAATGGCACTGCCAGTAAGATTGTGCAACACAATTGCAGGAATGTCAACACCACTTCCAGATTGACTGAGCCCCCTTTGGACCTTGTGAATATGATCTTTCATGATCCCACCATGGTAGAGTGGATCTTCCGGCACAGCTTTGCACTATTGCATGAAATACACAAGGGAACTCATGGAGTAAAAATGCTTTCGTACTTGAAGAAAACGCTAATGGTGGTAGTTGGCCAAAAAACATACAATTAATGCAGACATATATAACTGCAAGAAATTGCAACTGAACTGATGTCACAGATGAATATGCATTTACCTCAGTATAAGCAGAAAAATCATACAAAGGCCCATCTGCAGCCAAAAGAAAAATCTTGAAAAAAGTGGTCATCCTGGAGTATACAATTACCAAAAAGAATGTTTTGCATACACACGCCTACACACATTGAGAAAGAGAGAGTGTGCGAACCATGAGCAGAGAAGGAAGTGCCTACGAGAAGAAAGACGATCAAGAAATTAATGACCGTAGAATCTTTCATGCTTTTCCTGCTCTAGTACTTGGGAGTAACTGCAACTAGTGAAATTACGTTTTATTGAGAAGAGACAGACTAGATTGGGAGAATTGGATCTTGGGGGGGGCGGGGGGGAAGCTAAGCAGAACCAGGATAAGTCACACCCTGTGGGAGAACTTAGAGACTAAGATTGTCTCAATTTATATGTATGAATCTGCTGTTTTTTGTTTTTTATTTTTTAATGCTTTTGGAATGTCCAGGAACTTGTTCCTTGAACATTTGCTATGCTTTTTCAAGCTAAGCGTCCACATCCCAAAGGACACTAAATTGATTCATGTGGCTTCTTTGATCCTGCCAATTCTTTAGTCTCCATTTCTCCATTGCTTTGATGGCAAGGAGAAGAGAATGTTGACATCCAAGATGTGATAGTATTATATTACAATGCAGCATTCTCTTGCGGGTTTCTTCCATCAGGCCACCAGTTTTGGCATGTCACCTAGCCGAAAGGGTAAAGAGTCATCCTGTTATATTGTAGTTCATGATTCGTTGGTGATACCATGTCAATAATGACTTCATATCACCATTACATTGAATATTTTCTCCTGTTTATTGATCGGCAACGGTATGGTCATTTTACCAGGTCATTGCTTTGCTTGTTTTTTCCTCTGTTTTTTGTCTACAATGACATATCCATAATCTTGTTAGGAATTTCGTACAAAATTCCCAAACATGTGAGGAACACAAAATAGAGAAGACACACGCAAAAGAAAAAATAATCGCACACATAAGACAGTATTTACGTGGTTCGACAATTTGCGTACGTCTAGGAATTTTACTATTGAGAAGGATGAATACTGAGAGCGACTGTACAATACCAATCTAACTCTAATCACCAAAATAACAGTTTTTATATGTACTGTGCACAGGGTTGCAAAACAAGCCCAAAAAATTTTTCCCAAGGGGCGGACCTTCACAAGGCTTGTCCATAAGTGTTACAGGGCGACGGACTAAGTCTTATAAAATTTTTAATATTATTTCGAGTGAATTAATACAAACTAGACTCCACAAAAGAACCCAACAAATCTAACTTGCCGTTCCAAATCAGTCGTGTGTTTGTCCAGGGAGGCCTTGACCAGAGAGAAGCAGAACCAGCTCAAATAAGAGTCACTATACTACACTACAGAAGTCTAGGACAGCTGCCTATGACCCAGAATTCTGGAATTAATTTTTATTTGACAGTATAATGAGAGATCCCACCTTCTGGTGGCTGATAAATTGCTTCTTGGACTTTTTTTCGATTTTTGCCCCTTTTTTTTTTTTTTCAATTTTGGACCTTTTTGCTGACAAAATATGCATGAATACAACTTTAGCCACTTCTCAGGAGGCAACATGCTTGGAGATTATAGCAACAAGCAGAGAAATGACGATTTTTTTCACGTGTTTGTGATCACATTATGACTTAAAACATCAGATATCCATGTGCACCGGAATGGATTAATTTTCAACTTTGGAGAGCTTGGCTGATGTGCTTTCCATTAGGATATTGTCCTTGTTGATTTGTAAATCCCTATGATAACACCCTGTATATATCGGTATGACCTAAGTGTATTGACCAACAAGTGAATCCATAACACAATGTAGTCTTTTGGAGTGTTTAGTACTTTGATGTGAGTTTTATTGCGTGAACATGTTAAAGTTTAGCATTCTTATGTTCTTCTGTTATCACTTATTATTTAGTTTATTTAGATTTTATCGTATAAAAGACGAAATGTCTTCCATGAATTGTTAGATAGCTGATGATTGATGAGTCAATCAATTAGCCATAATAAGTGACATGAACTCGGATCTATCTCCATCCCCATGATTAAGTGATATGATTATTTCCGTCACCCTATAAATGAGCGTAGCTCACATGTACTATTAAGATCTAGCCCCTTATGGGTTTTGTGTATCGTGGGCGTATGTAAATTCCTTTGTCTTCGTTCTTGATCAATTTCTTTTATACTTGACTACATGTATAAATGTAGGTGATGCTGACTAAGAAGTAAATCAAGAACTAAGTAGCAGACCACCTTTTCTTCTTCTGTTTTTCCGGGGCTAGCGAAAAAGAAACATTAGTGGTTCAATATGCCCTTATTAAGCCATATATTGACTGCAATTGTTAGGTTTACAGCTGAATGCTGAAATGTCTTGTTTCATCACCTCTCAATAGTGAAAATGTTGAATTGGCTGTTCTGTTCCCATAATTAGCCATAACTCTGTATTCACCCAAGAATCCAAAGAAGCTATATGAACCGTGCTCATCTGTCTGACCCTCGACCACCCCAGTTTGCCATTCTTTCAATAGCTTATCTACCACATCGCCCGCTGGGAGATTATTGAAGTCATTGTCTGTAAGGCACATCTGGTAACATCCATTTGGATGCAGGGCTGTCCACAGCATAATTCCATTCACAGCAGGATGGGAGAATCCCTCTCTCAAAACTTGTTCTAAATAAACAGCCTGCAGAAAACCAAAATTATAAATGGGTAATAAATTTTGAAACAACACGACACATTATGATTCATTGACAGCCATCCTTGCTCACCTGTGTTTCCTGATCAAGGGTTTTGCTAATATCAACTTCTGTAAGCCAAATAGGAAGTCCAAGTGTAGCCAACTTGTCCATGATAGCTCTCATTAGAGGACGGTTTGGTACTGTAAAGTGACCCTCCAGACCAATTCCATCCATGGAAACTCCACCTTCTTTGAGTTCTCTCATCCTTGAAATATAGGTATCAACTGTGGAATTGATATCAATGCAAGTCTCCACTACGTTAAACTCATTCATGAACAGTGTAGCCAATGGATCGGATTGGTGTGCTGTCTTGAAGAAATTCAAGGTGGCATTTGGACCAAGCCTTTGCTCATAGAAATCAAAATGAAGCATTTCATTGCTCACATCCCAGTGTATGAATTCTTCTTTGTATTTACTCATTAAACTTTGTATTCTGGAGTTCACAGCTGATTGCAGTTTAGAACTTGTCAGGTTGAGAACCCAAGCCGGTGTATACTTGGGGTCCTCCCAGAAGATATTGTGGCCTCGAGCAATGATTTGGTTTGCTCGAATGAATTCCAGCATCTGGTCTGCTAGAGTGTAGTTGATCTGCCCCGGTTTAGGTTCTGTTGCATACCACTTCAGTTCATTTTCAAAAACTGCTGCATTGAATCGCTTGACAAACCAGTTCTGAAACAATTTGAAGAATGAGTTCAAATTTCATGTTGTCTACATTGTGACAGTGATCATGTTACTTGCAGAAATGGATCGAATTTCAAAATCAGTAAGCACTAGAGCATGGACCAAATAGAAATCAACCAATCTCCTGATGAACATAGGTTCATTTAATCAAACCGTCCTGACTAGAAAATCTCTCTCCTTCAGCTGGCAATATTTCCACCTAATGCTTGCCTCTTAAACATGCAATGTAGTGCGCTGATCAGATGGGGTTGAAGGACTATGTTTACCTGATAGGGAAAATTTCTAAGAATGGTCTTTGCTATAGCAGACCCAAATGGGAAATCTTTCGCGACTTGGTCTACCATAATTCCTGCTCCTTGTAATCTAACTCCTTCTTTATCAGACACATGGATTGTCACTGCACGTTTCCTCTCCTGAGAAGAAAAATAATAATGCTTTCCAGGGTTTCTCTTAGATTGGACAGACTTAAAAGAGAACCAAGAGTAAAGAATTCGTTGCAACTTAGAATATATGTTTCCCTTTCTTTTTGACAGTCAAGTGAAGGTTAAAAAGAAAAGGCCTGTTGCACATACGGTGTTAATTCTATACTGCTGATTTAATCTCCATTGCTGCTCCGTAAACGGCTGCAAAGAAGAACTAGTAATTGCTATATTGATGTTTCTGTCATCTGCATTCTGTGGAGCAATAAAACAAACAAAGGTAATTACTAGAATCGCATAGCATCGTTATTTCCTCTTTCATTCGCATGTGTGCTAACTAGCTACTATTCGAAAAGTGACTACATTGTGACGAATTGTTTAAAAGACAACTACCTGAAAGTATAGAAGAGAGAAATTTGATGGTGTAATTAACACGAATCCACCTTTGAGAAACGACCAACATCCATGCTTGGCCACAACTGAACCTATACAATTGAGTGTCGCGGTTTCTGTCATCAAGCTTGCCCTTATGAGGGCTGAATCTGCACCATCTATCTTGACCCAATCTGTTGAATTAAGGGATATTACACATAATACACTATAATTCCACTAAAGCTCATCAACCATCAGTTGTCAGTAATTCGGGCAGTTTTTCGAATTAAGTATATGGTAAACAGAGACTTCTCATATCAGATCTTCCCTTACTAAAATTCTGATAAATTTGGCTTTGACTTAGGCAATACATTTAATCAAAACAAAGTCAAAGTTTTGCTTATGAAATCGAAGGAAAGTTTAAGTTAAACCTACCCTTGTATCAGCTGGTCATGATGAACAGTGTCTTTTATGGTGGATATAGTTAATCTTTCGATTACACAATTACACTAATTAATAAAAGCATGACGAACTCAACTGGAGAAACAGTAAATGGTGCCTTGGATGAGGTTGTGCAACAAAAAAGCAGGCGAATAAATTCGGGTTCCATTGTTGTCCTCAACAGCCATTGTTGAAACCTGATGATCTTTGAGAACACCTCCATTGTAAAGTGGCTCTTCTGCGTGCACTTTACACTGCAAGTGCCAACCCCAAAAAAAAAAAAAAATCATGAAAAGTCATTACACCTGAAATAAACTACAAGGTCATTTTCATTATATGTAACACAAGCATCAAATCTTATTGAAGTTAATTGTAAGCCAACACCCCCCCCCCCCCCGGGTGGCCCCTCCCCTCAACAGTTCACATAACTATCTAAATGAAGATCTCACAAAATCTTTTGATATTCACCTCTGTGTAAGCAGACGAATCGTACAGTGGCCCATCTGCATAAGACATAGTAAATTTATAAAAACACGAAAATCTTCTAAAGAGCAGTTCTCAAAAGAATACGTGCGGGATTGTGTTTTTTGTGTGGCAGAGAGAGAGAGAGAGAGAGAGAGAGAGAGAGAGAGAGAACCATAAGATGAAGCCAAGGAGGGGATAATGAAGAGGTTGAGACCCAAGAAGCAGAAGAATATATATATATGATCTCTCATAATCTTCTATCAGCTTGAAAATGGGGGCTGCACTCTAAACTAAGGAGTGGACACTATATTCTGTGAATGAAATGTATTAAGTTTACACGGCAACACAGACACAGAAAGGTTATGTTCTCCAAGAAACTCTCAAAGGAGGGACAACCCTTTTTGTTGTTTTGGTGGGTTTGGGGTTGTTGGGTGGGTGGGGGGGAGGGGGAGAGAGAGAGAGATCACAAGGGAAACAGTGAGGTCTGAGTAGCTCCGTGCCTGTTCACATGCTATGCAACAGCTGCTTCACATTTATATAGGTTTAAAACTAAAGGACAGACATAATTGCAAATGAATCTTTCATTCCCGACTTTTATGCTGCATTCCTACTCTATTTTTTTTGCAGTGCAGTATGGGCTTTGACATGTCCGGAACTCTTCCCCTTAACCTTTAGGCTGTGTCTGATTTAGGTTTTAGGAGATTGGAATTGAAACTTAATTAGTCCAATAATCACTTTACTACATATGTGGATGTTATTATAAGGGTTTGACACGAATTTGATATTAAGACAATGAATCAACAAGTTTTAAATCATGATTCCAACGCAATATGATTGGGATATGATAATGTGATAAATCAATTAGTACAACCGATATAGATTGAATTGATATCAATTATCTAATCTAATATAACGGCACAACACATGCCCTTACTGTATATATGTTTGCGTGGTGTTATGAAGGGGCTTGAGTCGCGTGACTACAACCACAATGTGAAGACATTAATTCCTACATTTTTTTTTTCCTTCAGTCATTAATTCCTTCATTTGACTTTTAGTGCTTTCATTAAAACCTTTTAGGCCAGGCAGACTCTCTAAATCCCATTTGACGGTGAATGTAGTGTACTAGCTAGTATGCTTGATCAATGAGAGTTGAATTTCTTATATTAGATTAGACAATTGCTTTGACTCAAGCGGGAATAGACCTGTATTTCTGCTTTTGATTAATTGGCCTTTTTTACATGCATAGGTCTGCTAATGTTGATTGATATTAAAGATCATTCATGCATTAGATCTGATCAATGGTACCAACTCGATCCTGCAGATTGAGGCATTGTTCATGGTCATGACATCAACCTTTGACTCATAGGTATTGAATCACATCAGTTGTGGGGTGCAGATTGATACACATAAAATGCTACATTAAAGAAAAAGTACACCATAATGAGAGACTAATTATGGTAAACTCAGCTGGTCATAGTGTCACGAATGGTATCCACAGATTTGATGAGAACAACTGATACGATTTGTGATTGACTGAAAAATGTCTCGGATGACTTGACCGAATTGTACGAGATTTGCGATTTACATAAAAAATGCAAAAATATCGGATCGCGATTTAAATAAAAAATACAAAAATATCGGATCGAATGTGCGAATTGGATACGATATGTATTAGTATTGAGATTGAGGTGATTGGGTAGGATCTCTTTCATATTAACTTAGTCAAATTATGCTATTTACACAACAACATGCACATCTGTTTTTCCCTCTAAATCAGGTTCACAAATTTTCCACTCCACAAGAAGGATATCCTGTGAGTGGCAAGAGCTGAACCTGGTCAAAAGAGGGTGATAACCACTGTGATCAGGTATTATACAGTGGCATATATAGTATACATGGCCCATATTTGATGTGCTTTGTCCTTGAAGGACTCCTTCTGGATCACCCAAACTGGGAAAGCAGTAGCTTCACCGACTCACCTACAATTCACCGGCTCACTTAGAATAAACCGATTGTTGGGATTTAATACGCTTTAAACCACTGATAAATACACACAATCGAAAAACAAAACAAGAATATAAAATAATGAGAAACAAAAAGAACAAAACACACAGATTTTATGTAGTTCGAAAATTTTGACTACATCAACGAAATTACAGGGATTTCACTATTGAGAGGGAGGAATACATAGAGCGGTTGTATAATAAACATTAAACCGTAATCACCAAAACAATAGGTTTTATATGTCCTGCACACTGAGCTACAAAATAGGCCCAAAAAAAATTTTCCCGAAGCTTATCCATGAGTGCTACAGTTTTGGCCTATCTTTTGCTCCATAGACTAAACTTCATAAAAATTTCCATTAAAAATCACGTAACATTATTTCAAAGCCGGTCATCATCTGAATCAAACACAGAATTAGACTCCAAAAAAACCCCAACACTAGTGCACGACCATGCTTATACATAATGATTCTCACTTTTTTTTTTGTGTTATAAGGTATTCAGTCTTACACTGATTATTTTTTACTGATTATCATAGTCCGAACAGGTTTAAAACATATTCTTTGAAGAATAAGGGTGACTGAGCCTGTCCTTAATTAATCAATGATCTAATATTGAAACAAATTGACGATAAAATATATTGTTGTAGTGCAGGCCTATACAGGCGTGGTAGAGAGGATTTATTAACTAATTTGCACGCCTGCACATGTTATAGGGGACCATGTAATGTACACTCATATATGCGTGTGAAACCAGTCCTGTAGGTCCATTGGCCTGCAGACTGCATAAAAGTGACATGCAAGATTCTCCTCAAGTTTAAGTAATACTTGGGGTGAACCGTAAGTTCGGATGTCTTTGGTTCGATTCTCCCCAAGTTTAAGTGATACTTATGCTTAACGGATAGTTGTTGGAGCTTATTCAGCATGGCTACGTCTAATGTGACCCCGTCTTCAAGATGTTCTTGCGTACAAAAGGAAAAAGAAAAGTCATAAAATTGGGACAGCTTGATCTGTTAGATCAACTTTTTCTCTAGTGGAGTAGTTCCACCTGCATTATTCCATGTGTTTGCTTCTTTGGAGTTGAATTCATGTCGAGAAAAACAAATAATGCTTTTGCTCTTTTGCATGTTCTTTTTTTTAATATTTTACTTGTTCCATTAGATCACTGTAATATTTTATCGTTTACATATCATTCTAATGTTAAATCTTGTGTAAAGCCGCCCCTCCACATAAAAGGGGTAAATCAATGGACGGTGCGACTCAAGGGACTACATTTTATGAAATATTCGAACCTCTGACCTACTGCTCATGAAAAGTTTATTTGGTGAATGAACCCAAGTTGTTTACAAGACTAACCCAAGTTGTTTAATCCTTGTGGTTCAACCCGACCTGCCATGGTTTGTCTTTTGGGCTTGAAGCCCATGTCAGAGAAGTTGGGCTTGTATTGCGGGCCCATTTTACCCAAGGAAAAAGGATTTCTTTAATGGGAAAGATAGGATTCTGCTAGCAAATTCTTGCAATGGTTATTGTGAGAAGGAAAATAATACGTGGACTTAAAAATTTGACATAATTTGTTGATCTAATGACGTGATTTCATTGAAATTATTGAATTAATATTAAATTCTAATGTTTGATTAAGTCCACAATCAATCTAAAAATTATAATAAATTATGTCAATAAATTAAGTCTTAATAACATTGCTCTTACGAAAAACAGCTTGCGATGCATGTGGCAGTATGAAATTTGTACTTTGCAATTGGAGGGAGAGAGAGAGAGAGATTCTCTCACTTCTATTTCCAAAGCCTGAGTCATAAAGCCCACAACAAGTTATTCCGGCCCTTCAAAGATCTCGAGCCGCCTGGCTCATTTTGGTACTTCATCTAGATGGACAGGTCGAGCTATACTATTGGTATTTGAAACTTTATTGGGCCCTTATCTTGCCTCCCACCAGGAATATTTGAAACGCCAGATGACAATATCCTCTATGTCCACCACCACCACCACCCTGCTACTACCCCCGGGACGGCCATAAGGCAAGTGTTCAAACGACTTCAAGTCATGGAAGGTAAACAAGCATCCCATTAAAGAATGCAACATTAATTATCATGCATAGTAAGAATGTATCAGTTCATCTTCGTCGCTGCCTCAGCCACTTGAATTGGCTTGTCTGAGCACACAATTTTGGTAGTAAAAATTCAACTAATATGCGCATCAAAAACACTCTACCACCATATTATAACCAAATATGATTCAGTCATTTACCCTTAAAGATGCTACAACATTGAAAAGAGAATTACAAATCAGTACATCCACAAATGCAGAGAAATAGGCAATGAGATACTTCTTGTGGAATAAAGTGGACAGCTAATTCTCGGCTAATCCAGGATGGGATGTCACTGGGAAAAAAACTCCTCCATCCTTGCACACGTTTTTCCTCCAATTGGGCTGGGATTATGAGTGGCGATCAGTTACTGCCATTGACTTCTTTGACTTCCAGCTTGTATAAATCTTCGAATAAACGTTTTTCGTTCTAACAGCCAGTAAAACATCTAGACCAAATCCAATAATGCATGCAATGGTCATGACGATAAAAACAAGCCTGTAACAATGGGCACCTATACATGTGTTGCCGCCTCCAGCTGTGCTTGTAGCTTCTGCATCATATAAGAAACCAGCAAGCATGCCAGAGAAGAGGAAAGAGCCGAGTGGAAGGTTGAGGATTAAAATGTTGTAGATGAGACCATAATATTTGAGTCCAAATAGTTCAGAGGCAGTAGGAACTGTGACAGCAAGACGGACTCCATAGCATATGCCGACAACTATTGAGCCAATGTAGAGTGAACCAGGCAAAGCCATGGCCATCAAGATGTATCCAACAGCCATAAGAATCTGAGAAGCTGCATTCCAAAGAGGCCTTGGGGTCCCTGATTTCCTGCAATAAGAACAATAATGATCAAGAAAGATCATGCTGAAGAGTAGACAAATGGCAGCTATGCTACTGTAAATCACTGCAAGGTTCTCATTCCCTAATGAGAGGGTATGATGTCTATGTGAACATTAGTACCTAGTGAATCACTTGCACTGCAATTTCGCCCATAAAACTTGCGTTCCTTACCGGTCAAAAACTGATTGTATAGTTTCAAAAGCAAGGCAACATCATTATTATTAGGAAAAACTAGTTGGAATTTATTTGAGAGATCATCATGTCCACTTACAATAATTTTTACTGTTCAAATTTTTACACTATCAATAATTGTCTAGCTAAATACGAACGCAAGTCAGGCCGGATGCAAACACAATGAAATAAGATTTATTTCCAATTGACTCTCAGTCAAAATACCACAGAAAATCGCCACCTCCCCCAAAAAAAGCCTCGAATTTATAAAGGAAAACTTTACCTTTGCCCCAAATCCCTAATTCGTAATGTTTATTATTAAAGCTTCCCATATCACTGACCTCAAAATACAACCCTCTTTTAAACAGCAATAAAGACAATTTGTCGCATCATTAGGTCACCCACTCATACAACTCTTTTAATGAAATTTGCCACTGCCACCAACCCATATAACTCTCACTAATAAAAAATGACTTGTCATGTCTTAAGGCTATTTCCTTCACTTCCAAGCTGCCTCTTACATCTAAATCTGTTCAAATAACCAGCATGAAGAAATCAAATTACTTCCAAAGCTATCTCTATCAATTCTTGCTCGATAATGTAACTGCCCCGAGTCTAGAAACACTATACGCAGCAACAAATGAAAGGACACAGTAACAAAATCACGAGGCATCATCTAAAATCTGCTACTACCAATAAGCAATTCCAAAGCCATGAAATCCCGTGACGGATCCAAATTCTCTCAATTTAACTAAATGATAGAAACCTCGCATTTAAAATTGTGGATTCTAATCGAATTCACGTTATTGAGAAAAGCTTTTAAAAAAGTCACTCTGGTGTTCAGGATCTCATAGTCGGTAAAATTAGGCAACCTATATAGATATGCGTCATCCTATAGAAACATACTTTGATAAACAGAGCTCATAATACAGTAAATTATAACCAACATGCATTAAAGTATACTACAAAGCAAACAGGCCGGCCATTCAGAGTAGTAGTCAACTTACTTGATGAAGTACTCCGAAACAGACCCAGAAAGTATACGCCCAAAAAATCCCCAAATGCTTGTGAGTGACACAAATATGGAAACATCTGTGTATCCAAGCGCCAACCCCATCTGTCCAAGGTTATTCATCACCGCCAAACCAGTCCCAACTCCACAAAGAAACGACACAAACAATACCCAGAAGTCTAAGCTCCTCAACGCCTCATCAATGGTGTGATCCTCTCCGATCACCGGCCGTCTCTTGCCCACTTCCACCACCACCACCTCCTCCGCCACCACTGTAACTTGCTCTGACAAGGCTTCTTGACCCAGTAATGGTTCGGTTGTATTACCTTCAATATCGGAATTTTTGGGGTTGGATCGAATCGAATTCTGTACCATAAGGTATATGGGAATGAACACAGGCGAAGCCAAAAGAATGAGAAGTATGGCGGCGAATATTTGCGAGAGAACGTGACCATGACTGCCGGTGACATCAAATGCAAGAAGATAAACTGCGATAATGACAGCGATGACGTTGATTACTCCAAAGTACTTAATTTCTTCTTTCTCTTCGACGGCGGTGGACGACGGAGGGATTTCACGGAGGAAGAGAATGGCGGCGAGGCAAACAACAAAGGGGATGATTGCGAGCATTAGAAGAAATTTCGAAGGGTCGTTCGCAAACAAAGCCGAGCAGAGATCGGTGAATATGGCGGTGCTTAAACCCACATACCCTTTAAGAATCCCAGAAACGGGTCCTCTGTTTTTCCTGAAATTCCGAATGCATGTAACCAGAACCGCCGTGTTCATCCATGTCGTACTGTTCCCTCCCATACACAAGAATATACACATCTGCGTATGATTGACGAAGATGTCAGTATTAATGGTGTTTGAAAAATGAACTCAATAAGGGTCAATTTGTACTTACAGCCCAGTAAGGAAGAGGTTGGATTCTCTGGCTGACGACTAGCCACTGAACGCCGTAGCCGATGAATCCTTCGACACAGCCGATGAGGAGTAAGACCGGAGTGGATAAGCGGTCAGATGCGAGACCAGCAAGGAGGCCGAAGGCTTTTCCGACGTCTTTTGCCACGGAGAGGTTGTTGAGTTGGAGTTGAGTGAGGCCCATAAGTGATTTAATGGCGTCAGAGTAGTTTGAGAAGGTGTAGTTGTTGCCGGAGATGGCTTGGACCCAGACTGCCGCCACAAAGCCCAGCCATTTACCGGCCGGATACGTCGGAGAGAGCTGAAATCCCATGGAATCGGAGAAGAAGAAGAAAATTGCTCAGGGGAAACCAAAAAGTCCAAAAGCAAAGATTGGATTGTGGGTGGGGGTGGGCTGGGAGGAAGATGATTTGAAAGATTTGGGCTTTGTAAATTGCGACCATTAGTATTTAAAGAAGACCAGTAGTATTTAAAGAATGACTTGTTGAATAGAATAATTATTGTTGGCTGTTGCATTCATACTGTACTTCTTACAACGACGTGATCAAATTCGTAATTATGTGATCGACAAGAACGGTCACGATTTTTTATCGGATGTTTGAAATTGAATTCCATAAATATAAATTAAAAATTTTAAGGATCAAATATATATAATTAAAAAATTAAAAATTAAATAGATACAAAATGTATACTTTTTTTAAAGGCTAAAAATGTAATTTACACAAAAAAACGATTCAAAGTGAAAGTTTTATATAAAATAGAATAGTATCTCTTTAATAACTAAAAATTTTTTGGAAGTACTACCCTACCAAAATTTATTATTTTTAAAAATAAAATTGTAATTAATTGAGGTATTTCACTTGAATTACTTCAGTTAACTATATCTTTTTTTTAAAAAAAATTAACATTTTTTTAAAAATTATAATTTTTATGATCGATTATAATATTTTTAATTAATCATTTTTCTTTATAATTATAACGTATATCTCAAAAAATTAAACATTTTAGTACGGTACCAAAACCTTTCCCAAAGAGCTTCTATCTTTTTAGGTTAGTTCTAACAGACAGCATGGATCTTGCGTTTCTATCTTAGACTCTTTTGCCATGAAGAATAGCACATTGATTTGTTAATTACATCACAGCTTCCTACTTTCCATTTGAGTAATCAGGAAGATTTTTCTTTTTTTTGGCTTTTTTTTCCTTGGAGAAAAGAAATGTTAAAAGAGAAACAAAAAAAAGACTTTTACGCAAAGAAAAGAAAAGAAAAGGAACAACTTTTGGTTTTTTGGCCATACACTTAAGTCTAGGGTATGGAGCTATCGTCTGTGTTTGAATATAGCCGTATCATATGGTTAAAGAATCGGCCAGAGAAAGGTGGCATGCTGACAAGCTTTGGTTGCAAGTTGCAAAGTCTTTTTCTTTTGGCGATTTTTCTAAGCGGTCGCTCGGGTGTCAAGGCGCGTGTGGAAAAGGTGTATTGATGGCAATTTTTCTAGCCCCTTGTGGCAGCGGGTCAATTGCCCTCGAACTCTGCCATTAATTTTTCTTGAGTCCTGCACTTACAGTTCCCTAATGAAAGTAAGTAGAATAGTTACTAATCATCAACGTTCTTCATTGAGGTTGATCTTGTCTTCTGGCATTTTGAGGCATGATTGGACTCGACCTTTAAATGAATAACTTTAACTATGTAGTGTATGATTGGTATTCCTATACATATTTTTGACATTCTTCTTGTATCAGAAGGACGTACAATTGTTATTTTCAGAGATAATCATTTCTCTATATTGTTTCAATCATGTTAGATTATGTCATCGGACCCAAATATATCGTCTAATGGTTTTGTTTTGTTCTCCTTGGAAAGAGAACCTTTGGTATTCACCTTCCATATTCTTTTTCCTCTACATGTCTACTTTCCTTTAATCCATCTGACCACATCCCATCACATATATTACAGTTCTATTTTGAAAGTCCCAATGAGACAAAACAATATCAACAACAATGTCATTAGATTGTTTATCACATGCATTCAAAGATTGAAATCGAGAGAAAAATGGCAATGGTTACCTGGCAAACTTGGAGTTTCTGTGTAGTGTTTTTATGATCATTCTTTAGTCCCATAACTTCGATATTTATAGAGAGGAAGAGTTTCCCTACCGTGCCCTTTGTCCATTGACCGCCAAGGTTTGATCTTAACCTCATGATACATGAGAAATTGACCGTCACCCATGTCCAATAGTTCACTAATCTATATATTTTTCAAATTCATGTAATTCACAAGATTTACTTCTCCATCCCTTCTAGTATTTGTAAAATATGGTTGCTTTCTTCCCTACCATGTTTAAAGAGATGGGAATAGAAAAGAAAGTATGAACATCTTTGTTTCTTTTCTTTTCTTCTTCCTTCGTTTTTGTGCACCCTATCCTTACCACTCGCCCCAAGCAAATATTGCCAAACCACCACCCTCCACCACAGCATCCACTCTATCACCCTCCTACGCCTACACCTGATTTACAATTCATTTCAAGGTGATTGATAAAAGATAATTTCAATATTTCTTAACGTGTAAAAAAAAAATGGGTTAAAATATGACATGATAAAAAAATTAGTAATATATTTTAATTTTTCATCAAATCAAAATGTGAAATTTGCAAATTTATCTAATGAATTTATAAATTCATTTTATTTGATTATTTTATAATTAATAGTTATATAGAAATTAAATTAAGATTTACGAATATAAATAAATTTTGATTCCAAATTTTTTTTAGACTGCCTTAAATTTATTTTAAAATTTAGTAGATCTTGTTCGTTCGGCACATCTTGTCACCAACAGTAGATATTTGTAAGGTGAGATGACAGGCGATAACGTGGGACCCGCTTATAAGTCCACCGCCTTATCAACACGACAAGGAAAGTTATGCGGCTGTGATTGCATAAGGTGCGTCCGTACTTTTTAAATGGTGTACTGATTAGAGTATCATTGTACTAGTTGATGCAAATAATGAATAAACAGTGACATTAATAAAAAAACAAAATTGGTTTGTTAAATTTCTTATACCTACTTTTTATAATATTAATTTTGTTTTTGGATGAATAGTAATGATAATGTTACATCAATTATAATCTTTTCGTCTAGGTAAAAAAAATAATAATAAAAAATTTAAAGGACGAATCACCGCTCATGAGAACCAATCAAATAGACTATAACATTTTTTAATCATACTTTTCTAAATAAAAATGATTGGTGATTTGATAATTTTTTAGTTAAAAAGATCTAGAGTTATGGTTTAGATTCAGAAAAGTTTAGAATTGGTCTCAATCAGTCAATTATTATTATTTTTTTTTTTTGACCTGCATACCAACTACCCATATTTTTTTTCTTTTTCTCTTTTCAATCTTCATATAATAATAGAGCAATAGAAGAGATCTCATATTGGGATTTCAAAATGGATCGCAAATAACTTTGGACTCTTGAATCAGTGAGTTGCATGTATTTTTGTCAATGATAACCCATTTAGATAGATACTCATTTGGCATAACTCCAAAGGATAAGAACAAACTATTAAAGTTAGACGTCTTAAGTTCGAAACTTAGTAATTCCTTAGGATAGACCATGAAGAATTTATCCTCGTAAATTTCTTAGTTTAGACGTTGATAATTTATTTTTAATCGAATCAAAAAAGATTAATCGATATACACATAAATTAATTTAAACAGTCCAATTATTAAACCAAATCAAACCCCACTTATTGAAGGGAGGTAGTCATTTGGGATCTCCATTTCAAGATACATACATATATAATATTTTCAATAATAATATAACCAGCCACCTTTATTTTTTTCTTAAATCAGACCAACCGCCCATATGTTGTCTCTTCTTGGTGTGTCATCTGCTTACCAATAGTAGTTGTAGGATTAGATGCGAATATGTACTGTGGTCCTGCAGTACAGCCTGGAATGATTAGAACAGGACGACCTAGAGACACGAGCTAGGAGTGGGGAGGGGGGAGGAATACAAAGGCATATATTTTCGGTGGAGGGTCCTCTTGATAGCGAGTCTATACAGAGTAGGGCTTTTCACATGATAAGCGATCAACATAAGCGATTCTCTCAGAGAAAGTTTATCAGTATGTCCTGAATTATTATGTTAAGGGATTGTTACCACTCTTGATTTTTCTAAGGCAATGGATCCACACCTCAATTATTGATTCATATCACTTAATTTTTTTGCTATAGGTTAACGAAACTTATATCGATTATTTTTTTTAAACACTAAATCAACACACTAATTGATAGAATATTTTCATAAGTTAACAAGGAGATGACATGTAGCATGGAACCTTCTTGGTTTGACATGTGTACCCGGCATGGGTCCCTCAAAACTCCCTATGAGAGACACGTGTCCTCGTCATGTTCTCCCTCAGAGTTCTCAGCAACTAACGCATGTCCTCGACATTAGCACCTCTCAAAGCACCACTGTATTGACTTGTGTCCTCGGTGCTAATGCTCCCTCAAACACATAGTCGCTTGACACATGTCTTTGACATATGTTTTACCCTGAGGGATCACCATTAGACACGTACCCCCGACGCCTATGTTTCCACGTTGATAAGGCAGGAATGCCAATTTTGACAATTATTATGACTTGGGAGTAGAGTTGGGTGTCAATCATAGACTCCCTTTCTCAAGGCAATCAGAATGATAGAAAAAGCAGGTTCGTGATCAACAATAATGATGCACGAAGTGCTAAGTGCAGAATTGGGAGGCAATTGATAAAAGTATCCCTGCGCGTGCACAATCACCACTAGAAAACATTAAATAACCATTTAGAAGAATAAGACATATTTATTGCTCGACGAACCTCAGAAGGCGAGCATTAAATACTCGGGGATCCGAGCAATAAATGCAGAGAGTTCTTTCCACGTGATTGGGAAGACGCTTTGCCCAAGGACTGTGCGCCACAGGCTGCTTTCCATATGGGCCAATAAGAAGTCTTCCTTCTAGGGGATTCACATGTCCATAATGATTAACTTCATGGAGATATAAATAGCACTCACAAAGTCAAAACAAAGGTACACACATTTTGACCCAAGCAATAGAACAATGACTTTTCACTCCTCTCTCACGTACTAATTTGATCGTCGAAAGGGTCACGCCAGAAAAATACTCTGACACCCTTCTAACCTTCCTTTGTGAGTGACAGGGCTCATCTCGATAAGCCAAGAGTGATCAGATAGCTAAAAAATAAATTCATCACCACTCCTTATACTATTTTCTCAACATTCATTTGTTGCAAGACCTTCGACTTTTCAGGTAAACTCGAGTTCATCATGGAAGAGATCTATCAATTTATTTATTGTGCAAAAATCACCGCGCACATTAATATAATTTTTTCCCGTCTCCAACATAGTCTCATAGAACCATTGCAACACCTTCCAAAATC